GCGATGCAGGGATGGTTGAGCTGGCGGAGGATGGTCGACTCGCGAGAAAAGGCGTCAATCTGTTCCTGCAGGAGATGTGAGGAAGGAGAAAGGAGGATGGAGAGGGAAGGAAGGAGAGGAAGAGGAAGAGGAAGAGGAAGAGGAAGAGGAAGAGGAAGAGGAAGAGGAAGAAGAAGAGGAGGAAGAGGAATGGAAGAAGAGGAAGAGGAGGAAGAGGAAGAGGAAGAAGAGACGATAAGAGTGAGAGTAGAGGAGTGTCAGGAGGAGGTTTCAACTTGTTTGATGATTCCAGGAAACTTCTTGATGGCGACTTCCTTTTTCCACCAGCCTCTGTGAACCTGGAAAATGAAGTTTAGAAATGATGGATATGATTTAAAATATTTCTGAGATGATTGAAATCATGATGGAGATGTTTGAAATCATGACTGAAGCGATGATGAAGATTGCAGTTGGGTAGTGTCAGTTTTGTTTTGCTCGTTCCATTTTGTCAAGGGAAAGCGATCAAAGACATGTAAGGGATGTAAGATGTGTTAGGCATGAAAGGGATGTAAGAGATGTTTGTTCTTCCGATCATCTTGCGTTGCGGACGTTGAGGAGAGAATGCATTCATCGCAGCTCCTTGCGATCAGCAACAAACTCCATCACATCTCGAACAAGAGAACGAGACTTGACACGGCTTGACAGGCGGCCAAACGATGCAACAAGTCAACAACTGATGCAACAAGATATGAATGGATGCAACAAGGGCTCAACGGATGCAATAAGGGCTCAACGGATGCAATAAGGGCTCAACGGATGCAACAAGGGCTCAACGGATGCAACAAGGGCTCAACATATTGCCGAGATGAATAAAGATGCGCAACTTCAACAGACCTGGGCGAACGCTCCGCTGCCGATGAGAGGGCCGAAGTCAAGCTGAGGAGAAGGAGGATAAGATTGAGCGCGAGGATGAAAGAGAGAAGGTGAGGAAGGACGGAGAGACAGGGAGGACGGGAGAACACAAAAGATGATGAAAGGAAAAGGGAAGAAAGGAGATGGTAAGGAGGTGGAAGCGAAGAAGAGGTGAGGGGAGGAGGAGAGGGGAGGAGAAGAAGTAGGAACTGAGAAGGTGAGAGGAAGGTGGAGGACAGTAGAAAGGAGGAGGACGAGGACAGGGGAAAGGAGGAAGAGGTTCAGGGGCACCTCTCCTTCTCCGACTTCATCACGTTGATCAATGATGGAGTCCTGCATAAGAGATTATCCAGTTTCCCCTGCCCCTGCCCCTGCGCTCCTTCTTCATCTTTCTCTACCCGTCCTCACTTCCTCCTCCCCCCGAGTTCATCTCCCCCTCCTCTCCCCTCCCTCTCCCCTCCCTCCTCTCTCTCCCTCCTTCTCCCTCTCCCTCTCCCTCTCCCTCTCTTTCTTTCCTCCTAGTTTTGCGTTGACTCACATGAAGATTTAATGAGTCAGAAGCCTTGGGCGTCGACAAAGAGCTGCAGAAGAGAGCACAAATCTCAGTCCACCGCCCTTCTGGCAACCACCCTCCCCCCCCCCCCGCCCCCGGGCACTTTCCCGTCCTCCTCTTCTCACTCCCCCACATCCCTCTATCTCCAATTCCTCCTCTCATTCCGCCGCTTCTGCTGGTCCTACCTCAGCCGATGAGAGTCAACCTCCCTCTGCCTCATCATCAGCAGGATTAGCAGGAACAGAGCGGCAACCTGAAGGGCTTGAAGCTGCGAGCGAGCCGCCGCCAGCTCTCCCTCCAGCTCAGTTACTCTGAGGACACGCAAGTCAGCAACTTCCTCCTTGACAACCTCCTGCTTCCTCCTCCATCCACGTCCATCCCTTGTTTCCCTCCTGTCATCCTGAGGTACCCTCTGTCTCTGTCTTCCTCTCCCTTTCTCTGTAGTCATTGCCAACCTTCCTGTCCTCCAAATCCTTCAACTTATGCCAACTCATTCACATCTCACCTTTGATCTCCCTCCCTTCCCCTCCCCTTGTCCACTCTCTCCCTCCCCATCCCTTGTTTCTTTCCCCTCCCTCTCCCCCTCCTCTACCCTCCCCCTCCCCTTCCTGTCTCTTCCCTCTCCCCTTCTTTAACCTCGCGTCTGACGATCGCATCTCGAACGTCTGGATAAAGGTCTGCAGCCTTACTCTCTCCCCGTCCAGCTGCGACCTCGCCTGCCCCACCCCCGTCAATCCTCGGGAGTCACGAGCGCGCCCTGCCATCACCAGTTTGAGATCCTCCTCCCTCTGCTGGAGAGCCTCCTCGAGGCTGCGAACTCTGTCCCTCCTGCCGACCCCAGCAGGACGTCAGCAACACTCCAGCTGGAGAAAGATGAAGGCACCAGATGGCGATCTCTGCCTCGTTGTCCACAGACTGGACGGATGAATTGGCGTCCATGACTCTGACAGGAAGGGAGGAGGGAGAGCGAGTGAGAGAGCGAGGAGAGAAAGGATAGAGGAGTAGGGGCAGAGGTGGAGGGAGAGAGGAGGGAAGGAAGTAGAGTCAGGGTCACGCGCACCACGACCATGGTCACCTTGCTGTTCCCTCCTCGAGCTGAGTCGAGCTGTACAGCGAGTTAGTCAGTGGAGGAGGAGGCAGGGATGGGTCCAACGCACAGAGCGTCGTTGAGGGAAGTGGCGATACGGAGCTGCGACTGCAGGGCCGTCATCTCGTTCTTCCTTGCTCTGATCTCCCACAAGATCTTGAGCGAGCATGTCAGCCTCTCTCCAGGCCCCCTCCCCTCCTCTCCCGTACCTCCTGCCCCAACTTCTGGATCTGCTCCTGGTTCAGAGCCCCTAACAAGCACTCAGTCAACCCAGCGCCTTCCCTTCACGCTCCCTACCGCGTTCGCTGGAGGAGGAAGCAGGTTTCTGTAAAGCAACGTCATGGTATGCGGGCGAGACAGACAACAGGCCTCCTCCTCCTTGAGCCCAAACTCTTCAGCACCGTTGGGATGCTGGTCGGTCCCATTGAGCGCGTCGCTGAGTTTGCAAGTCAACTCGCTGAGATGGAAGAGACCCGTGGAAAGGGAGGACGTGCAGGGACAGTGACAAACAGAGGAGCAAGCAGGCAGAGAAGAGCGGATGGAAGGATACAGAACGGGAACAGAAGATGACATGATCTTTCAAACTGATCAGCGCACTCTTACACCTGATATCAACCACAAATCGTTCCAGGAGAGACGGGCGAGGGTCATAGTCGGTCTGACATTCCTGAACAGTCAAGCTCAGCACGTGCACGCCTCCCAACCCTCCCGCCAACGTTGTTGATGCAGTCCTTGCCCAAAGATCGCAGAGACTCTTGCAACATCAGGATTTGCTGTCGACAAGAAAGGATCAAACACTACATGGGGGCATAGCTACCTTCAAACTCTTTCACAGCACCTGACAGTTGTCTTCAGAACGCCTCTTCTCCATCTCCACCTGACATCATGCGTGAACAAGCATGTTGAGAACCACTTCCGCATTACCTGAGCCATAAGTTGCTCGATCCTCTGTCATGGCAGCGAACAGCAAAACAATCAGACGTCTCCAGTCAATTCAAAAGGTGAAAGTGCCTGCTGCTGCATGACGAGTGTTTCCTTCTCGTTGTTGCTCAGCTGCTTTGCGGGGCAAGGGATCAGAAGCTGAATAGACGCCGTGAGGGCCACAGGACTTCTCACATAGCGGTCGTCGGGCTGCGCACCGTTGGCCTTCGCCGTGGCAAGCATGAGCTGATTCTGGAGAAGACGTTTGAGAGGAGGAGACGAAGATTGTGTTTGAGAGGAGGAGACGACAGCAGCAGGGCATGAAGATAGTCTGATCAAGGATCTCCACCTGCAAGTCTGCGTTCTTTGTGCGGAGCTCTGCAACTGAAGGCACTTCAATCGCTTTGAGTGCTTTTCCAGCCAATCACCTTGCCGTCGTAAGACCTCCTTCTCGTCCAGCGGCAGCGAGCTGTCCGACTGGAAACAGGTGTGAGAGAGGGAGGTCGGCACCGATCTCACGATGCTACCGCACTGTTGCTCCTCAGAATCCTGAGAGTCATCAGGTTTGTGCAACAAGTCAGAAGGCGAGACGACAGAGCCTGTCCACTCGACTCTACCTTGCCATGGGGGAGTTCTGACTGCCAGAGTCAGGAGGAGAAGGCGCCGGCGACATCTGGATTTCCTTCCGATCAGAACTCAACTGCCTCTCCTCTTGCGAGCGACCTTTTCGTTGAGACGAGTTTGAAGTCTCGAGATGCTAAAAGAACATCAGACCCAGATGCCCAATGCCCGGAATGAGTAGAGACCGTTCAAGGAGGACTGCAGTGGTCATGTTCGATTCTCGAACTGATGTGATGTGTTAGATTCCTCAGTGCTGAAAGATCTTTTGCAAGGTTGTTCCTTACATTCGGGCTTGTCGTTTGAGGGAGTTGACATGATTCACAGCGCTGTTTCAGCAGACTCCAATCTCCCTGTGTTACCTCCCTGACGCGCTCTTCCTCTGACTTTCCTTCCCTCTCTCCATCCCACAATGAGCCAATCAAGTGAATAAGAGAACTAGTGTGCTTACCAAACAACAACGCTTCTACTGAGGGACAGAAACGGTCTCGGACATCCCAAGTTGCAAATCTCGATCCTGTGTGGAAATGTTTTACTTGACCACGTCACCATGCGCAACATGGCCTGTCTCTTTCACGCTCACGATTCGCATGCTCGTCATCCGTCACATTCGGCCCGTTAAGTCATCATTCCCACCAGCACCCACAATCTCCCCCTTCCTCCGTCCCTCCTTCCACGCTGCTTCTCGAGTCTTCCCTCATGCTCTCACTGCTCCCTGCAAGTCACTGAGTCTCTCTGGTCCCTTGGAGTCCTCGCTCGAGGCCCTCGAGCTGCTCCCTTGCTCCTTTCTCCTCGCTCCCTCGCACCCTCGCCTGTGATGTTCAAGTGCCGAAGTACGGCAGTCAATTTGAAGCTAGGCAGGCGATCGACAATTCAACACATCTGCTATGGCATACACAAGTACCCCTTCTTTTAACTGAAATTAAATGGGTACTTTCGGGAATAGGTAGTACAGCCCTTGTCTATTGCATCAAAGTACCCATCAAAGGACAGCAATTTTACCAGCAAAATGTACATAAATAGGGGGTGGGGTACTTATTTTGTTTGTCATTCCACTGTTTCAAAAGGCACTACAGGTCAAATCGTCTTCCTCCCGATTACCGAGCCAGTTTCAAATGCCTGTATTCAAAATATCAAAGTTAAAATCATTCCCTTCAATTTGAATTGTTTCCAAGATAGTGTTTACTTCCCTGAATTTATGACCTTCCGAGTCCCGGGCCGGGACTCCGAGGCTCGCAGGCCAGGGCCAGGCTCCCTGACTCGCCTCTGTGAGCCTAGCGGATCGGACCGCACTCGGAGTCACCCGGCCGCCGGGTCACCGCCGGGCGGTGACCGGCGTGTGGCCGGCAGCCGCCGGCCCAGCCTCGGAAGTTCAGGCTCCTGTAAACCAACTTCGGACGACTTACGTGGCGAGGCGGCCAATGTAGCGTGTGTCTTGCTAAGCCTCGGTCCTCTCATGTCTGGATGCTTGGGTTTCACATCCTAGCATACAGTCTATCTCTCATGTGCTCCTCAATTCTGGTTTTGCCAGCCTGAGTGTGCATTAAACTCGGTCTTGAGCAAAAACTGTCTCAGGCTTGTTACAACTAAGGTTGATGTGATATCTGCGTAACTTTGGACTAGGACGTCGGAACACGGTGATGGCATCGGGAGTCCGGGAGTCCCGGCCGCCGGCCCCCGGAGGCTCAGGGCACGTTGGCCTGGCCGGGCGCGGCTCCGGCGGGGGCCCCTGAATCATACGGTCCGACAAGCCGCTAGTAAGATTCTGAGGGACCGTAGCAGCAGTCCGATACGGCCCGACTCGGCAGGATTCGTCCTCGTACCGTACCGTGATTTTTAACTTAACTTTGAGTAGACTCTGGAGGCTGTCGGTTGTGCGGCCCCGGGGCGGGCCTGGCAAGGCCGCAGCCAGCGCTCTTGCAGCCGTTCGCCCGGCATTGCCCGGCAATCTGTAAACGGGCCAGTATGGAGTGTGTATTGGTTTAACACCTGGCAAGGTGGTCCCGACGTTATGTGACCGTTACAACTATACCCAAGGATGAAAGAGAGCCTTTTCACAGTTCAATGGCCGCATCGCTGCCGTGACAACTTTCAAGTAGTGATGCGCACGGGCGAACGGCCACAGTTTGCTGAAAAGCGGTAAAGGGGTCTGAACCCAAAATATTCAAATGACATCCTTTCGCTTGCAATCTCAGCATGCAGATTGTATTGAGGCGTGACTGCTGACCGGTCTCTTCCGTTTGCTGTAAAGCAGGGTCGATCACGGGATGTGAACGAGAGTAGGTACCACTTTCATGTTTTCGAGGGGGTCTTCCTTAGGAGGGACAGGGGTGGTGGAGTCCGTGTAACTCCAAACCAAGAGGGTAGGGTGATAATCTGAGTGCAAAAGAGCTGGATGCAATCAGATGGTGGGGGTGGTTCAAAGGGGGGTGAGGTGATTCAAGGATTCGAATTTGCAGGGATCATGGTGGGTATGAATCAGACAAGAAGAGGGGAAGGGGTCATGTACTGTGTGGGTGAAACCATGGGTAGTATCAAATTGAGGGGTCGTACAGGACAGGATGAATTACGAGATAGATGTACGTGTTCACCCCTATTGTCACGGGAAGGGGAGGTCAACCACCCCCCGGAACTACTACCCCACCGAGGGAGGCTCGTGCGTGGGAAGTCCACCCACCCTAATCCACCCTTGCACGGGACTTTACAGTATACCCTGCCAGTTTTTAAAATCTTGGTTTTATGCGTCTTATATCCCTTATAAAAATTGAGTTTACGGTACATCCTGTAAAACTGACTATTCAAAGATTTAATTAAGACTTGTATATCTGTACCACATATTTTAATATAATTTTTGAAGCCTAATTTAACTAAAGATACGTCGGCGTTGAGTCCCTTCACATCTCAGAAGCGATTGCCAATTTCATCGAGAAATGTTCAAATATTAATAGTCTATTTCGAAAGGTTTAAGGGAATTTGAACTTCGATCAAACCTGTTTGATGAACATAAAATTAGGCCATCAAAGCTCTTCGATTCTATAGCTTCAGCATTAAGATAAAATACCCTACATTCTACCCTTTCCTTTGCTTTCAGCGTAACCCTCGACTCTATCTTCCACCTCAAGGTCACGAGGTCCCCCTAAAATATTATTGACAGCATATAATCCTTCCCAAGCACCACCCCACCCTTCCTCTGGACCTACCCCTCTCCATCCCCACTGCCTTCCTTTACTACCTTGCCCCCTTCCACCCTACCCCCCCTTTGGCTTTCAAATCCCCATATACACACTCCTTGCTGCTTCTATCGCACCCTTGGCTGCACGCAGTGGCTTCCCATTCAAGGCTCTCAAGCTTCTAGGGACGACTCTTGCTCTTCTCTCGTTCGTCTTGCAGCCGTCTTCTAGCCCATCCTTCTCGCTCTCAGAGTCTCTTTGTATCCGCGAAATCTTTCTTTGTCGTCTGCCTTGCAATTTCGTACCCGCTCGCAAGCCTTACTGCTTTCAAGTTTGTGCTCACACCGAAACAGGAAATTCGTCTCCGAGTGTGACAATTGACATCAGCATCTCAATTTCAAGTTGATCTTCTTGTTGCATTCGCGTTCGCTCAGCATATCAGCACTTCACTGCAGATTGGAATCATGCATGCTGCGAAGTGAAGGTTGAACTTGCACGAGGATTATTTTGCTAGTCGACGCTCAAACCTGGTAATTTCTCCGAGCCGAGAGTGTAAATCTTTCACCTTGTCCTTGGTTTCAATCTCTCCATTGATAGCGCGATCAATGTGCATCAGTACTATGTCAAATGAAGCTTCGGAGAAGACGCTCGCAGTATTTCCAGACGACTTTCAAAGGAAGGACAAACGCAAGATCGGACTTGGCAGCACCATGGAGGCCCAGAGTGCTGGATTGGAGCCTGCGCTGGACTCTGAACCGACCACAGCTGGAACGAGCCCTTCAAACTGCAGCGACAAGAGAAGGAGGGTCACCATTTCCAAGGAAGTGCTGGTGTGCTACTTTCAGGAGGTGCTGGAGCAGGACGAGAACATGATCCCCGAGGCACAGAGCTCTCCCAGAGATGTTGATTTTGAAACGGAAGAGATCAAAGACAATGATGGCCCATCTGCAGAGGCCTTGATCTTGGACGAGCTTGTCAACGCCATGATTCTGAAGAATGAGTCCAGCGCAATCTGTCCCATCTTGAAACGAATGATCCTTAAGGGCTCAACAACAATCTTTACAAGGGTCCGTGAGAGGATTATGCTTACCATCAATCGGATCAGAGATGCTGGAAAAGTTTCCTTGTTGCCGTCCAACACTGTTTTAGGACCCGCTTCCATTCAGATTCTACAGTTTCTTGATGAGAGTGTGAAGCGATCAGTCTCGCTGATTGACTCGTTTTCTAAAGACAAGCAAGACTCACTTCAACCCACATCCATTAGATCCTTGCATGACGACCCGGGTACGAAGGTGTAGAATATTCGATGTAATTTTACTCGGCAATCCCAAAAAAAACATATGTATAGTTGACGTTCTTGTTACAAAGTGTTGATATTCCTTTTCGGTTTTTCTGAATTGTTGCAAGAATAAAGATATCCCTCAGAGTGTACTAAACGATTATGTCAATGCGGCATCTTCACATCGAAGTAAATTGCTCCTTCCTGCGAACTGGCATTTATGAAAAGCAAAATGAAGCATGTACGTGTGTGCGGATGCTCAGCAATGTATCTTCGAGTACCTGCGTCCTTCTCCCAAATTGCAACGTACGCACGATTTCTTTCCTACAAAGGTATGAGATATTGGACTTGTTGCTGCACAGAGCAAACCGGAGGGCAAGAGACTCGGGGCTGTTCCCCCTCACGCTAACCCCGTTGACTGCCACAAGCACATCTCCAACTTGCACTTGCTGTAGATCTGCTGGCCGAGTCAGTCCTCTGAGATGGAGTCAGGTCAAAGTTCCTTGTCTAGCCTGTATGCCCTGCACCAGAAGCTGCCCTTTCACCTATCGCAGGTCAATCTACTGGGGGAACATCTCCACGGCGACATACATCCGCCTCAATCGTGAGTCCGCAGTAAGAATATCTGTTTGACGAGTAGTTGCTGTCAAAGGCAGTTTTGAGAGCACTGCCCTGCTGTGATTGAGTTTTATTTCCCGCGGTGCTTGCCCCTAGCTCAGTCGCCACTGTTCGCTGACTGGTTGCAAGTTTGTAATCAGGAAGCCAGCGCACACATTGGTAGGATAACCTTTCGTGCAAGCCATATTTGTTTACTATAAAATCTATCTGTTGATGACCGCTCTGTTGAAAAGTTGGCGCCGTGAGCAAGAAAATGAGTTCCACCCTCTAGAACAGAAGAGGAGAATCCGCAAAGTGTACCTGGATAAGCTCCTCCACCACTACAGGATCATCTTCAGCAGTGTAGTTGAAAATCAGCTGTTTTGCCTGATGTTTGTAGTAGCTTCCCTGCCCTTGCGCCTTCATCAACTTCGTCACCCGCACCACCCGCCGCCATAACGCCAGCGCCATACTGCTTGAACTTTTAACTTTTAGTAAACCTAAGCTTCAGGTGATGGGTCTTTCCTAGTTCATACCGTACTATTTTTACTCATCACTCAGTATCGTGGTTTTATTTCTATTTCAAAATTTGTACTAAATGTTTGTATGAAAGTTGAATTGTTTATAAAGAAGTTCATGGTTCCGAGGTTCCGGGCCGGGACCAGCCCTCCCGGATCCCGACGTGATCGGGCCCGGCGGCCAGTCACTGAATGACAAGGAAGAGATTCATTACTCAACTTGGTGAGGCGGCTTCTGCTGGACGCCATGCAGGCGGGCTGACAGGAAAGGACAGAGCGCAGGCAGGAGGGTGAAGGAAGAGGGAGGGAAGTAGAGAAGATGAGGTAGAGAAGATGAGGTAGAGAAGATGAGGTAGAGAAGATGAGGTAGAGAAGATGAGGTAGAGAAGATGAGGTAGAGGAGATGAGGTAGAGGAGGTGACGTAGGAAGTGTGGAAGAGTAGATTAACGCGGTAGACGTGAAATGGGTTTGCAGCGAAGAAAGGAAAAAGAAGAGGATAGATCGATGGGAAGAAAGTGCGGTAAAGGTTTTGATATCACTCTCATCGTACATCAGATACATAGCCGTTGCAATGCGAGCAAGTGGTGACTCCTTACACGTGTTGTCTTAGGCTTGAATGGGCATCGTCACAGTTGTCTCAAATAAGAGAAATGTTTACCACGATTGAGCAAAGACGTCGAGCAAACTCGCCTCGTCCAGAACCAGGGCTGGGTCTTGAGGCTGACATGAAGAAGAGCAAGAAGCGATGGAACGTCAGATTCCTGCTGCTCGGAGTGGGATGCTTGTTATTGATAGCCGCCTTCATTCTCTCTTTCTTCAACGGGGAGGCGTCGGCGCCTGCCATGGTCCCGCTAACTCACAAGAGCTCGCTGAGAGAGGACAAGAATGGCGCCGTGAATGTGTCCCTTCCTGTGGTCGGCTCCAAGCGCTACTCAGCTCCGATCAAGGCGAGTAAACTCCAGCCAGAGCATCATGAACATCGGAGCTCCTTCACCCTCCAGCATGCATGCTTTACTCATCGCTGCCCCTCCCCCCCAACAGCCTTCTGCTCCGCCACTTTCGCTCTCGCTGCTCGTCTGAGATTGAAGTGCAGGAGACGGCGGAACCCCCGGCGGCCCATGCTAGAGACGAAGCTCAGGTCTGGCCGATTCTTCTCATGGTGTGCGGGATGACATGCTTGAAGGCACAGAAGCCAGGACCAGGCTCTGCCCCGACAGATGGCAGCAAGAAGGAGGAGGTGAAGGAGGGATGGTCGATAGGGTGTGGCAGAGGAAGTGAAGGGATTCGTACAGGCACCCACCACAAGCAGTGAGAAGTTTGAGGCCTCTCCTCAGTCGCTGCAGGTAACCACACTCCTCCTTCAATTCCCTCTCTGCTCCTAGTCTCCTCCGTCCCTGCTCTGACTGTATCGCCCAGAAACACAAGGCACCGCGATGGTTTCAGAATGCTAAGGTAAGCTCTTTTCTCCTCCCTCCCCCCTCTCACCTGCTGCCCCAGCTCGGCATCTTCATCCACTGGGGTGTCTACAGCGTTCCAGCGTACGCGCCGCTCTCCCGCATCACGCTAGGAGGAGACAACTCGAAGGTGATCGCTGGTGGAGAGAAGGGGAAGACCAGGGGAGGATGACGTTGAGGGATGAGAACCATGGAGGAGGAAGGAGGGAAGCAGAAGGAGGGAGAGGGGTAGAAAGGAGGAGGGAGTATGGAGGGAGGAGGAGGGAGGATTTCAAAAGGAGGAGGGAGGAGGGAGGAGGAGGGAGGAGGCAGGAGGAGGAAGGAGGAGGAGGGAGAAGGAGGAAGGAGGAGGAAGGAGGAGGAAGGAGGAGGAGGGAGTAGGGAAGAGGGAGGAAGTGGCAGTGTTGTCCTGAACGTGTTGGGACAGAAACCTGCGGATCCTTGCAAGGGAGGCTGGTTCAAGTGCAACCCTTACGCTGAGTGGTACGGCAACACGATGCACATCCGAGGGTCTCCGACGGCGAGACACCACGAGGAGACTTACGGGCGCAACTTCACCTACGGGCAGTTCATGGAACAGTTCGAGAAGGACTCAGGTCAGGCCCCTCGGCTGCATGCAGACCGCGTTGCACCCTGTGTTCTCCTCCCTGCCTTCCATCGTGTTTGGCTCGTGCTCTGTCTCCTCCCTCCTCCCTTGCTGTGGTCTTGTACAGCTCCTCCTCCCTCTCATTTCTGACTGTGAGTGTGACTCGTGCTTACAGCAAGCTGGACGGGATCAGAGTGGGCAGACCTCTTCAGCAAGGTGAGTGCTGGACCATGCCGTGGGGAAAGAAGATGAGGAGCGAAGAAGAGATGGAGGACACGGGCAGAAGAGGGGGGGGGATGAGGGGAAGGGAGAGGAAGGAGGAGCAGGAGAGAGGAAGATATCTTGTGCATGGCGGCAGTTGAACGTGAAGGCAGGTCGGTGCGAGGTATGCCGTCTTGACTACCAAGCACCATGAGGGGTTTTGCCTGTGGCCTACCAAAGTACAGACGAAGACGGTGAAGGAGCTGGGGTTTGGAGGGAAGGAAGGAACGAGGAGCTACTCGGAAAGGGACCTGGTGGGCTACTTCGCCAGCTCCATGCGATCCAAAGGGATAAAAGTAGGACTGTACTACTCGGGTGGACTGGACTGGCACTTCAAGGTAGCACGAAATGGAAAAGAGAGAGTAAAAGAGGAGAGATCAAGGAGGGGGGGGGAGGGGGAGGATAAGAAGAGGGAGGTAGAGGGAGCAACGGAGGGGAGAGGAGGGAGCACAGGGAGGTTCAAGAGGGGGAGAGAGGGCTAGTTGGAAGAGTACAAGTCAAAGGGAGCGACACACTGCAGGAGAGAGCGTGCTAGTGTAGAGGAAGAGGGGAGATGAAGAGATGAAGAGATGAAGAGCATGAACAACTCCACAACTCTCGGCTCCTCCTCTCCTTATTCTCCTATCTCCTCTTCTCCTACCCCCTCTTCCCTTATCTCCTCTTCCCCTGGCTCTCCTCACTGCTCCTTCCTCTCAGGGCCCCTTCTCGTCGAACCCTCTCCCACATGAGGGCGCGCCATGGTTCGGGAGCAAGACTGGCATACCGGACGGAAAGGAGTACGCGGAGTATGCGGATGCCCATTGGAAAGAGCTGATAGATAAGTATCACCCGGACATCCTGTGGAATGACATCGGGTATCCCCGGGAAGGAAGGTGATTGATGAAGGAGATGATGATGGAGATGATGAAGGAGATGATGATGATGATGATGATGATGTTGATGATGATTGCGACGATGGAAATGAAGAGGATGTCGTCGTCGTCGTCGTCGACGATGACGACGACGACGACGATGATAGTGACCTTCATCTGCAGTTGGATGGAGTTTGCCGCAGATTTCTACAACAGGTTTCCCGACGGAGTGATCAACGACAGGTTCAAGGTATACACGAGCTTCCCCCCTTTCCCTACCTTGCCCTGCTCCCTCCCTCCCTTCCTCCCTCCCTTCCCCTCCTCTTTCCTTACTCTCTTTTCCTTCCCTCCCTCCCGTTCTCTCTCTCTCCCCTCCCTCATCGACTGGGTTGTGAGCCGCTGCGGCAGGTGAAGGAAGGGAAGGATGGGGTTGCGCACTCAGACTTCGTGTCCCCCGAGTACGAGAGCATGAAGACGATCCACTCGAGGAAGTGGGAAACCTGCCGAGGCATCGGTACTGCTCCTGCTCCTCATCCTCCTCGTCCTCCTCGTCCTCCTCGTCCTCCTCGTCCTCCTCGTCCTCCTCGTCCTCCCCCTCCCCCTCCCCCTCCCCCTTCTACTCTTCCTCCTCTACCTCCCTTCTTTTGCTGCAGCAGCACCTGCTCTCGCTCTGGGTCCTCCCCCCCTTAAATCCCCTTTTCACCCCGTCCTGCATTCACCTGCACCCTCGTCATCCACCCTGTCCTTGTCCTCCCCTTCCCCTCCTCTTCTCTCACCATCGGCAGGCTACTCCTTCGGCTTCAACCGCATGGAGGGGGAGGAAGACTACATGAAGCCGCGCGAGCTCGTGACCACCTTCGTCGACATCGTCAGCAAGAACGGCAACCTCCTCCTCGACGTCGGGCCCACCAGTTCCGGAGCTATCCCCCAGCTGCAGCAGCAGCGCCTCCTTGACTTCGGAGCTTGGCTCAAGGTGCTGAAAGGGGAGGAGCGGAGCGGAGCAGAGCAGAGCAGAGCAGCGCTAGAGCAGAGCAGAGCAGAGCAGAGCAGAGCAGAGCAGAGCAGAGCAGAGCAGAGCAGAGCAGAGCAGAGCAGAGCAGAGCAGAGCAGAGCAGAGCAGAGCAGAGCAGAGCAGAGCAGAGCAGAGCAGAGCAGAGCAGAGCAGAGCAGAGCAGAGCAGAGCAGAGCAGAGCAGAGCAGAGCAGAGCAGAGCAGAGCAGAGCAGAGCAGAGCAGAGCAGAGCAGAGCAGAGCAGAGCAGAGCAGCGCGGAGCAGAAAGGGAAAGAGAGCGGCAGGACGGGGGCTAAAGCTGTGCAGGTGAACGGAGGAGCAATCTTCGACACTGAGCCCATGTGGAACTCGATCTGCTGCGGGAAGACGGGGAGGAAGGAGGAGGTCAGGTACACCCGCAAACTTCAGCCCGGCCAGAGGACGGAGGTCAACGCTATCGTTCTGGGGGAGGCAGCACAATACCAGCTGAAGAATCGCTCCTCCTTCTTCCTGCTCTGCCCCGCTCCCTTCAACGGGCTCGAGGTGAACAGCTCGACTGGTGGAGGAGGGGCCGACCAGTCGTTTCCCTCCCCGGAAGTCTGCGCAAAGTGCCGCAGCTGCTGGGGTTGCCATGGCAGCGGGCAGCTGCTGACGAAGAGTGGAGGAAGAGAGCTGCGATGGAAGCGATGGACGTTGAAGGCGGCGGAGGAGGAGCTTGTCGGCGACTCTGCGCTCAATCCTGGTGAGTGAGAAGAGGAAGGATGACGAGGGGGTGAGAAGGAGGAGGAGGAAAGGGTAGGGAAGGAGTAAGGAGGAGGTAGGAGGAGGAGGAGG